TTCTGCTGTCACGCATCTCGGAGAGGGATTCATGAGATGACATCATGACGACTTGAATAGACATCCTAGATGATCTCGATGATGACCCGGAAGATTTTACCGAGACATCTGATACATGGAACTCGCCCGAGCTCATTGTGATCCCATTGCCATCAAACCTCGGGGTAGATCGATGCAGACGCTTGATGGCAGAGGATCTCATTCCGCTGGAGATGTCCCTTCGCAAGGGCAGGCAAATGATGCACTTCACAACCTCCGCATTCACTTGTGCAACAAGGCAGTCCTATTCCGAACGACGGTCAGGCAAGCCAAATCTCAAGCCCTGAAAACTCGAGCCTGGTGCAGGTGACGTCAGTGCAGCAGGCTGTCTCCCTGCATGCGAGTATATATACCAAGACCAGGATCCAAATGATGAAACTTGACACGGGGCATGGCCAACTTCAGAAGTACAAATCCCTGCTTCATGAGCAGCTCAAAGTCAGCACTGCTGTGGGTGATCCAAATGCCTGTGGTCAACAAAATGAATCCCTCGCGTGGTTCTGGTCTGTCGAGGTCGACATGCGTGGTCCGGATCAATCATGGAATGAGGAATGTGAGTTCCCTAATGCTCGACACATCCGACGTTGAGCTGACCAGACAAATATGAAGTTTACTGAGTTTACTGGCTCCAGGCAAAGGCACTACGGGATTGATGGAAGGAAGAGCTGATGTTGGTCCAATTCGAGATGGATTGGACATGTAACTTTTTCTTGTGGAAAGCAACCCAATGGGGCGACTGGATGCAGGAATCATTCACGAAACGACTTCTGGGTCATGCATGCTACTCCGGAAGGCAATCCCGAATGTATTCATTGCTGGCGCAGGATGCCCAGGCAGCATTTCAACACCTGCAGACTGTTTTGATAGATTCCAGAGATGAATGAATGGTTTATTACTGATGGAATATAACAACCATTTCAATATACAAATTTAGCCCCGGGAATTGGCTGGGTCAGCCCATGTCGGAGTTTGAAAAATTTATCCATCCATCAGTGGATGATATCTTCACATCTGAACCAACTGTCATTGTCATTGCCAGTGTGATACTCCTGCATCAGCCATGCCTGAATTATATCCTTCTCCTGCATCCACTTCTGACAATCAGAATTTACTCGATGAGTACTGGCCCCTCACTCTCACTCCTACAGACATTTCAGCTACTATGTCGATGTCTGCATTGCGCATCCACGCATCCATCTCCCAATATCAGGTGGAGGCTGCAAACAACAATCTTCCCCCTTTGGCTCGGATCAGGCACTTCAAAGCTGGGCTGCAATGGGAGATCACTGTAAGACCCTGACGACACTGGCGGTTAATGCTGACATCTTCCACAGACTTTTGTCATGCCCATCCTCCAGTACTCAGCTGCCAGGAACATCATTTCGGTCGTTCCCAGCCCTATTGCTCATATTCTTCATTTGATTCCTGGTCACACCTGGAACACAGTTCTGGATCACATCTTTTCATATCACATCTGTGTGTTTCATGACGTTGCAGATCCCGGAGATCCATCCCGGATCGTATCTGGCTATGATACCCCATGGTGGATGGGAGAAACTGCAATCCTGGATGAACCATGGCAATGGGATTGGGTGATGACTTGCTGTATCTTTCACTACCAGCATTGGCTAGTAAGATTTTTATTCCATTTCCTTGATTCATGACTGATCTGTTCTAGGATGGTGTTGAGAATGATGGTCTGACAATTCTGGAACAGGTGGATCATACCTCAGTTCCATAACTGATGGGACTGAGGTGGATTAGAGAATAGCCTCCTGACATTACTTGAGGAGCAATGTGAGGGCATCCGTGACATGCCATTCTAGACAGATTGAAGAGAGGGAGAGGAGAGTAGCTCTAGTTACTCAGTTGGAAATGTTGAATTGCAAGTTGCATATGTGTTTTATGAGTACTGAAAATTGCATGTAAACATTGCAATATCTAACATGATGTTATATGGCGAGTCCTGAAATAAACTGGTGCAGATGTTCATCACCATGTCCTGACCACCGAGGTCTGGATATTGAGTCCCAATTACTGAGACCCCATTACCGAACTCCAAATATCGAGTTTCACGTTCTGAACATTGAGTACCGAGTGTCAAGTACCGAATGCTGACTGCTGAATGTCGAACTCCGAGTTCCGGATCTCCATTACTGATTCCCAACTCCCCGAATTTAACTACCAAGGTCCGAATATTGAGACCCAAGTGCCAAGACCCAATTACCAAACTCTGAATATCGAGTGTCAAGTTTCGAATATTGATTTCCAAGTTCCAGATATCGAGTCCCAATTACCGAGTTCCAAAATGTCGGGTACCGAGCATCGAGTACCAAATGTTTACTGCTGAATATTGAACTCCAAGTTCCAGATCTCCATTACCGATTCCCAACTCCCCGAATTTAACTACCCAGGTCCGAATATCGAGTGTCGAGTTCCGAATATTGATTTCCAAGTTCCGGATATCCAGTCCTGATTACCGAGTTCCGAAACATTGGGTACCAAGCATTGAGTACTGAATGTTTACTGCCAAATATCGAACTCTGAGTTCTGGATCTCCATTACCGATTCCTGACTCCCGGAACGTAACTACTGAGGTCCGAATATCGAGACCCAAGTGCCAAGACCCAATTACCAAGCTCTGAATATCGAGTTCCGAGGTCTGAGCATCGAGTACCGAATGTTGACTGCCAAATCTCAAACTCTGAGTTCCGGATCTCCATTACTGATTTCCGACTCCCGTAATTTAACTACTGAGGTCCAAATATCAAGACCGAGTGCCGAGACCCAGTTACCGAGCTCCTGGCCTTGATGACTGTCGATAGGATCTGAGTCTAAATACAATGATAGCCATCGCCCCAGTACCATTTTCAAATTTGTACAGCAGCATTCATACTGTCATCAAGGGTCCGGATATTGCGTCCTGATCACTGAGTCCTGATTATTGATGTCCAGATATCAATTTCTGAGTTGGCTTTGATGAACGTTGATAGGACCTGAGTCTAAATACAATGATAGCCATTGCCTCAGTACCATTTTCAAATTTGTACAGCAGCATTCATACTTACATTTCTTTGCTTCTCTGTGCCCTTTTGACTTGTAGGTTCCTTTTGCAACAGACCGTTCTTCTTAGCATTGCCTAGCGTAAGGTCGATGATATCATCTGCACTACTCCAACCCAGGGCCGGCCTTTTGTAACTGCGCACCACAACTGAAACCCCACTCCCTTGCGCTGAATGCATTGGTGCTCGAGTGTCATCAAGAGACATGGAAGGCTCTGGACAGTTATTGTATGCATCCGCTATGGATTTCGGACCTCGAGTGTCATCAAGAGAGACAGTTTGTACTTGATAGTTGAAAGCAGGTACTGACACAGGTAATTACACTTTCTACTTGTTTCATCTTCCACATGGTGGTAGGGTTCGTCAATCCACCCTAGCCCATCCGCATGAGGGAACCCCGGCATAAATATGAACAGAGTTCCTCATATACCATGCCCACCCAACCCTATCCCCCTCCACCTCATGAACCCCATGTCTGACAATCCTTCCAGAAAATCCAATCATACACCCGGGATCGTACCCAAACTCCAGCTGAAGGCTTGGCATGCTCATCCGAGCATTAGAATAATTCCCCACGGTGGTGAGAATATCAAAGCATTCAGGAATTGATAAATGGTCTCGATGATGCGGGGTTTGACGATTGGAAATGACAGATAGTGTGTTAAACATGGATGCCCAGTACTGGAGGATCTTGGACATTCTTGGCAGTTCCTTGCTTTCTGCCTTTTCTCCGAGGCTTGAAAATGTTCGTAACCCTGCCCAGTACTGCTCTGGATGCATGATCCTGAGTGCTGCTGATGTGATGGCTGCCGGCCTCGCAATGGAATTTAGGATTCCCTCGGACAATGGTCCCTTTAATGATGCAGATACCTCCAGGTCCGCTAGATTCTATGGGATTGGTGAGCTCAACTACCAAAATCATCATCCTATCAAATCCTACCTCGTGCCCCTGTTGAAACCATGCCGGAGATAAATTGATGCACCCAGCAGGTAAACCAACATCTTCTAAGCGGTGTTTGAACCACTCCAGATTGGTTCACCAATTCCCATCAACCTTCACACTTCTTTCCAGACTTGGAGACAGCAACTCAGTGGCTGCCCAAATTTCCTTCTGTGGTTACCATTTGGTATTTAATATATATTGAGTAACAATGTATATCACACACCTGTGTTTCGGCTGTCAGGCTGTCTGGAAGGTACCATGCAATGATGGTGCCAGACACATCTAGAATGGTGGCGGGTATGTCCACAAACCTTGTCCCCTCATGGCCAGGAGGACATCTCTTAAGCAACTTCTCCTCTTTCTCCTCATTGTGCCCAGTGTTCTTTGGGGAGATCAATTTGCTATATCTTGCAATGTCGATGTATATCTGAACTGTGATGAAGGAATTTGAATGATCAAATGAATTTTCCTGAATCTGCAGGAAGACCCACTTGGATTTGTATATGCCTTTATGAGGCGATCTACCAATCGATCACAGGCCATCACTAGATCAGTGTCTAGGTTAGGAGAAGGTATCACCAGGTCTCCTCCTGTCTTCTCTGCATTGAATTTCTGTGCAGTATATTCACATACCTCATGAGTGACTGTCAGGGCCCAAGTGCGCCAGAGGCTTATTTCAATTGCAGAAGTGGAAGAACCATTCATGATGAAGTTGATCTTCGGAAATCAGAAGCTGAATGCTGGACACCCAGAGGTTGGTGTTAAAGGGGGTGGAGATAGTCAGGATCAGATAAGGGAGCCGAAATACCAGATCATTGGAAGTGTGCTGGATATCAGATATTCTTTGTCGACTTCCGGGGCTCGGATCTTAGCACACTTCACTCAAATTTCGGTAGTTGGAACTTGGCATTTGGCATTTGGTAGGTGGTGAACATGAGGTTCTGATAAGAGAACCTTCCATGATGTTGGCTGTCGAAGATATATTACCACCCGTTGCTCAATGAAATACCTGATCATTGGAAGTGTGCTAGATATCAGATATTTGTTTATTGATACCCGGGTCTCAGAACTCGGTATGCTTCACTTGAATTTTGGTAGTCGGAACCTTGCTTCTCATACAGCAATGCAACAGTAATGAACCTGCAGCTGCAGGAACTCATTACACTTCACCCAAATTAGCTCCTCAGCAATTGGTACTGCATTGTTTTACAATTATCATTCACCTGTGCCCACCTGTCTATATTATATACTGCCCTTGGCCCACCCATCTAATATAATATATCCCTGGGCCCACCCGTGTATGTGATAACAAGTACCCTTGGCTGGCCCACCCATCTATCTGATACCCACCTACCTTCACACTCGGCCCACCCATCTAAGATAATATATATCTGGGCCCACCCGTGTATGTGATAACACATACCCTCAGCTGGCCCACCCATCTATCTGATACCCACCTTCCTTGACACTCGGCCCACCTGTGTATGTGACACAATGTACCCTCGGCTGGCCCACCCATCTAATATAGTATATATCTGGGCCCACTCATGTATGTGATGACAAGTACCCTCAGCATACCTGTCTCTCTGATACCCACCTACCTTGGTACACCCATCTACATAATATCCAACTACCTCGGCCCATCTGTCTATAGAATATTCATGTCCATCAGCCCACTCATCTACTCTACATATTCCACACATGGGCCCACCCGCCTCCATCGGAAATAATATCCCTCCTGGCCCATCTGTCAACATCGAGGATATACATCACATCAGCCCATCATCCGCTGGCCCGTCTTATACGGGATATTATGTAGGTTGGGTGACCCATATAATATGGAAATATGTCACTGTAATATGTGATCAGTTTATATTGAAGTGCCCATCGTGTGTGCACCTTCGCAGCCTATATCAGAACCAGAATATCAATTAGCCGAAGATATTTTGCCTGTGTGCGAAATAGACAAAGCTATTTTCGCTGCAGTCTCCCTTGAATCGTGTACTAACAAGATTTCACCGCTAACAGATCAAGAAGAGCTCAAATGCAATTCACCTTTGAGCACGCCTCATTGCGTGCATTATACACCATTAGAGGAGCATTATGCGACTCTAATTGACCACAGTTTGTCTCAGGAATATTGACTTCTTACTGATGATTTCGCACTTTTCGCATTTTCAGACTATATTGAAGACTGCTTGCCAGTTAAGCACCCATGCATCGCATCGCCCAAGCACCATGTCTCAGACAACCCTGACGCGTCTCTAATGCACTATGACATGCATGATCACATGCAGGGTTCGCTTGAAGAGACACTGTATATTCCGCTTTCACATTTTTCGCACTTTTCATCTTTTTTGCAACAAGTGATCCACCTGTTGCTGCTACCTTTCCTAAAAATTGTAATGCATCTCAGGACTACCTTGTTGATGGGGTGTGCGCGGTCACCTCGCGCTTGCAAGACTATGTCTGTTTTCGCATTTTTCGCATTTTACCGCTTCATCATGATTTCAACTTTGCATCAGCCTCTAATGCTTCGCCTTTAACCCTGCATCAGCTAGCCATTGACTCACCCTTCATGCGAAGCCATTGCGCGTCTCACACGTGAATTCTTGTGCTTTGTGCATCCATTATTACAAAAGAGTTTTTGCTCTATCGCATTTTTATTGTTTTATCATTTTTGCATTGCATTCCTCTCATTCAAATTAATCCGTACTTCATTCAGTCATCCAGGCGCGACTCAGGTGTTCGCCTAATGCATACACATTCGCTTATAGCATCGGACATTGCATTTAACTTCATAGTTTTTGCTCTTTTTCGCATTTTCGCACATGACACTCATTTGATCCTTATAGCCCATACCAAAGCATATCTCTTTCTGATCTGGTGTCAACTAGCATCTCATAGACAACACAGGCGACACGTTCGCGCAATATGCTCGCCTGGTTTCACATATCATTCATGTTTTTACAGACTAACAGTATATCAGCCTATCCTTGCTTGTGTAAGGGATATAATCATTTTCGTGCCAAAATGTGATAACAGGCTAGCCTTGCGAGACCCCTACCATGCTGTAGAGCCTCTCTGCATGCCTCGCATCGCCCCACCTTCGTGCACCCTCGCCCTGCATCACAAAGTACAGGAATACATTCTTCCGGTTACAAGTCCGCCTGTGTTCATGTTTTGAAGAGAAATGAAGCATCCCAAGCGCGCCAGCTTCGCGCCCATAACCCATATCATTCGCATCATCACCCTCATACCCTCGCGCACCAATCGCCTCGCCAACATCACTCGCAATTTTTGCGTTTTCGCTATCATAAACCATCAACATAGAGTATAGTCTGTTTTACCCCAGGTTTTGTCTGAAGATCTTTTTATTTCCGTTTCACCTCATTATAATGTCGCCCATAGGGCTAATCTCGCGCTGATATATATGCTATATAGATCCACTTAGAAGAAAAACAACAAAAACCTTGAAAACATTCTTAGATTGTGCCTGCCTAGCTCAGTTGGATATTATTTTTGCTTCACACACATTACACGGCACCATGCACCTTTTACCTTAGAACGTGCCCCTAGGCACGTGACTTTCCTGCGCATTGTGTGATATTCTTGTGCTTCACACATAGGAAGATATAGACACAGACAACCGCAAGAAGAAGACAAGCCAGATAGGACATCCACACAAAGTTATCATTTCTTTTCGCATTGTTTACATATAGTTTTACTCACGCCATCCATTCCTATAGCACCTAAACACTTAGCAGGCCAGGAGAGACTTAGCTCGGACATGGATTGGATTGCTCTTGGACCGCACAGCCTCATTTTACTTTACATTGCATGCACATTAAACCCAGACATCTTCGCGCAATCACCCCTTGCATTTCTGCCAAAACGCGAAACATCCAATGCTCATGCATATCTTCGCATTCTTGTGCGACACAGCCTCACCAGGCTCGCATCATCAAAGTCGTCAGCATTATCCTGAGCTTGTAGTGCATCAATCACATTATAGTCATGCTTGCAGTTTGCTGTACTAAACCTCATCCTCGCACCACAGCCACTTTGCACTGCACATTCCCACACTTCGCGCTAATCATGCGCGAGTTTCCCGCGCTTGCACATTGCATGCTTACCTCACATTTTGTGCACTTCTCTTGCACGTTCATTGCTCAACAGTCTATGTAACACAGATACATCATGCTCACACGCTACATCACTTTTGCTTGAGTTCCTCTCCACACACACGCTGAGTGGGGACACTCAGTATTTAAATTCCCCAGCTGTTGTAGAGATTCGCATAATTACAGGCTTGCAACACATAACACTTCAGTCCATACCACCCAGGTTCGCAGCACCAACTTGCAGCATCATTCCCTGACCTTTCCCAGGCTATTTCCATATCAGGCGATGCTTTCCCATGTCGCGTGACTTTCCCATGCCTCGTGATGCCCTCGCATCGCTTGCTTTCCCGTACTTTCATTGCCCTATCATCCAGAAGCATCCATCCACTGTCCAGCAAGTCTCACTGGTACATATTTCTGCATGTTTATCAAAATGGCACCATATTAGAGCATGGACCCTGGTTTACATACCTTATTACATACATTTATCTCCTCAGCTCACTTAGCAAGATACATATATAGGACCGCATTTTTCACCCTTTACTACACCACTCCTTACCTTAGTGGAGTTCCCCATCATGTCTATAGCTAGAGTTAGAAGATATTAGCAGTCTTTTTGTTGTCACTCATTGAGCCCTCGTTCATTGCTAGTCTTATTTCACATTTTTGCTACTTTCACATTTCGCATTCCCGCACGCAACTTTCCCGCGCTTTGCTCACCTCGCACAGCCACTGCGTGACTGTGGATTTGTCTTCCTTGCTTCCCCTTGGATCGAATGTGCTTATCCCTGCAAGCATAGCAGACTAGGCATTGCACTGATCACTATATCAGCTTCTTGTGTCCCTCATTTGCATTTACCATTTGACCTAGAGCTGAGTTGATTCACCTTCACCAGCTCCTCAATACAATTCAACATGAGGCAAATGTCACATAACCCCCCTTCAGAGGACGTTCTGCAATCTCTCATTTCTTAGGGATGCAGCCCTTGCCCTTGGCAGTGGGTGCCTCGATGGCTGATGTGATCATGGTGGGCTCTGACATTTCTGCATCATCATCAGTGGGAGGTGAGGGTAGTTCTGGTGGTGGTAGGGAAGGTACTTAGGCATTGGAACTGTGAGGTGCAGGAGGCGTGTTGCTTGACAAGCTGGCAATGGCATTGGTCACGGCCCTGGATGGGGCAGATGGTTTCATGGCCTCCTCTTCCTCCCTCCTCTGGTGCTTGGCCTGTCTTTCAGATACCCCCTTCTCTCTCCACTGCCTCTGCTTCTTAATGTGCTCAAGGTTGTCCCACAG